ATATTTATATATACATATATATATATACATATAATAACCGGGTAGACTATCATCAAAAGTTCTAGTTGCCAGAATTTGAGGATAGACCTTGAAGCTACAATATTACTTCCATTTCCAGCTTAATGTTAACTGTTTAACATATTTGTACAGAACAGAACCCAAAGGCAATGAGGTAGCCCTGGTTCGGCAAATCTTTGAATAACTTTATACGATTCTTTTTCAGCCACTTTTTTTCTCCACTTTGATTAAAGTAGAGGTCAGTATTTTTTAAGTGAAACATAATGAGAAACCGGAATTTTTGGCTAAAAGCGAAGCGATGACAACTTTTGCTATTTTATTGCTGCTTCTTGTAGTTGTTGTTGTCATTGCCATAAATGACACAATAAAGTGCCGTTACAAATATTGTAAAAAGAATGTATAAATAATACAATAAAATATAGGGTGGGGGGAAAAGAGATCGCGCGTATTGAGCGCACTGGGCGCATGAGTAACGGCTTTATGTAAATCGATCTGGGCGTCGAAGCGAATCGAGGGCGTCGCGGCGAGCCTTTGAATTCGCCCAACGTCCAAGGTCAATGGTTGCGTCTGCGCAAACAGGCCCAACACCAGACACAAAGACACCGAGCGCACATTAAACAAATTGCGAGCACTGCAAATAAAGCAGCAGACAGACAGAAGACGGACGGACGGACGGACGGATAGACAGACAAACAGAGAGATGACAGACAAAGAGAAACGGGCAACCGCTTTGTGCGTCAGGGCGGGGGCAGCCGATCGAACGTTTCAGGAGCAGCAGCAGCAGCAGCACTGAGTCAGCGCAGTCCAGCGGTTGGTCTGTCCGCTTGTCTGTCGGCCGTTATGCAGGCACTCATTGCTCAACGAGAGATCGCACGCGTACTTCGAGGTTCAATGAACGTAATGTAATGTATACCCTACACACTCGCCACACCAGCAACAACAGCGTGGCCGGCCATTACAGTTAACAAAAACAAACAAACAAACGGTTAAGCGAAATCAACAATAAGCTAACAAATATTTTGGCAACTGCCAATGGCAAATGGCCGCCCGCACTTTGTGTTGTTGTTCGATCAACAACAACAACAACAACAAAAGCATCACTAAAATAAACAACTCAAAAAGGAAGCATTGAAATTTTGCAAACTGATTGCAAAGATTGCAATATTATTAATATTATTATTGTTTTTGTTTTATACTGTAGTCAATCTCCTTTTGGCTGAGTGCATTTATAGGAAGTTAATAAAAAAGCAATATAAATCATTTCAAATCATTTCTCACCCCCCACCCCAACCCAACTTGCGGTTTAACGGCGCTTCTGAACGCTGTGCGCGGCGTGAGGGGTGCGGGGGGAGCGCGATGCGTTGCATGTGTAAATTTTCGGCCTGCCTTGCAGTTGTCGGAACTGCTCGAGAATAGTGTGCTCAGAAGTCAAGACAGCGTCGAGTCAGCTTCATTGTTCTCATTGCTGTTGCTGCCGGCGGTAGTCGCATCGATTATGAGCGTATATGGACTATGGAGACAAGTCCGGTTTCTTTTGGAGCGCGATAAACGTCAGATAAACGAGCTCGAGAGCAAAACAGAAGCAAAACAAAAAAATATATAAAAAGGCAGCAACAAAATAAAAATATAAATAGTGTAGCAAGAGCCAAGACTGCACGGCATAACTGAAGTATTTAAGCCCCTCCCAAGACAAGTCTGTTAAGTCGACCCAACCGAGCCCACCTTTACGGGCAGGCAGCAGAACAGTACGTGGCTACCTGTGCCAGCTGCTGACATAATTGCGGTCATAATATTTGAAAACAAAAAAAAAAAAAAAAAATTAAAAAAAATGGAAAGCAGGGTACAAAACATGTTTAGAAAAAGTAAAAATAATATTCATAATCCAATATTCAATATTCGTTGCTAGTAAATGGAGCTTGAATTTAAGAATAAAATAGTTTGGAAATATTTTTTGGACTTGATAAATTTATAAATTTTTGAAAAATTGCATATCAAGATATATGAAATTTAATATAAAAGATTATGCTGCCTTTAGTCTTAATTTCTAGCAACATAGTTAGTTGTGCAATGAGAAGTGCACAATAGTTATTTTATTTGGGGCTGGTGACATGGACACAAGTCGTAGAAAGGCAACCCCAGCAAGTGCTTGACAGAGAGTTCAAAGCCCAAATGCAAATGAGGCCAAAATAATATGGCTTGCTCCATATGAAGTGTGCCACTTGAGTGTGGACGACCGAGAGCTGACGCCAGCGGCACGTAGAACATAAAAATCGCCAGGCCGAGCCGAGCCGAGCCGTGCGGTACAAAAGCGGCGCTTAGTTTGCCCCAACTCATTATGCTATGGCTCGTTTGTATAAGTAGGGGCGGTGTGCTTGACCAAATTCGGA